CAATGAGCAGCAACCCCAGAGTAATGTATGAGCTGTTATGTGGGGGTTGGCTCCACAAAGCTGAATTTGCCCAAACAGGGTCTGTTGTCAGCCAAGATCTCTTTTTGTATGTGCCTGTTGTCTAGCTAAATTGGGTCATGCTCTGATGTGGCCTGAACCACTGGTTATATTGGTTCTGGGGACTTTTGGGAGAGGATCCAGTGCCTATAAATGTCAGGCATTGACAGTAAGCGATAGGCCCTGAGCTACCTATTTGGAGTACAGAGCACCAGTTGTAGCTGCCTTTGAGGGCTGTTGGTGTGCATGGAAGGGGCCTGTAGAGCACAAAGGCTGGTTTTCACTAGCACCAATTCCAGGGGCAGGTCAGCAAAATGCCCAACCGTCCTCAAGGTTTGCCTACATCTGTTAAGCTCAGTCACTGAAAGATCCTCTGGCAGCACATGTGTTACTTTAAGAAAGCTCTCAGTGAGTCACCAGGTAGGAGTGACAGCTGTTTATCAGATTGATGCAGATTCAAACTCTGTGGCAGTTCTGGTATTGAGGCCCTTCAGAAACAGTGTCAGGGTACACCATTGTCAACTGCCACCCATTGTGTGCCCGTGGACACTCTGTGGTGGGGCCAATTCTCAGGGATTAATAAGGGTGAAACTAGCCGTGTTTATCAGGCCCAAACAGACCAAGATTTTGCCATGCGAAAGGAGGGCCCCACTCAGGAATGGTGGCACTGGTCTGGGATACAGGTATTAGGACTTCTGCTTGTCTCTTAAGTAACATAATAGTGCTGGTGTTCAATGAGGTAACATTTTGGGTGGTGATATAGGATGCAAAATAAGCTCCTTCTCCAACCTGTGCTAGAAAAGATGAACTATGGTTTATTAGTAGATTGGGGCCCATAACAAAGACATAGGGGTGAATGGTGCAAATCAGGCTATTGTCAGTATGATTATCAGCAAAATTCATACTACAGTGGGCAGAGGAGTTCTAGTAGTCACCGTGCCACGATTTCAAAGGGCTGAAAACATGGCCTCATCTCCATAAAGTTTACTGGATTGGCAAGTCTAGTACTTGAGGTCGTGGGGGACTCATCCCTCCCTCAGTCCAAACTATAGGCATGCCTGTGTGCCGATGTAACTAGTGTTTGATGCCCGGTGTACCAGAATGTCTGTGGTTGGCTTGCAAATGACCATGTGGGCTCTAATCTATAAATTGTTGGTCCCCTAGGACTGTCTAATGAGCATGATTTTCTTGACTTCCCAATGGAATGCCTCAGCAGAGAGTCCCACTGCTTATTTTGCTTACACAGAGGGATGGGAGGCACAGTAGCATTAGTCAGATTGCTATAAGCCAGACTGCCTGCTGAGAGAAAGGTTGTATATATATATATATATACACACACACACACACACAATAGAGGCCCGGTGCACAAAATTTCATGCACTGGGGGGTGGGGGAGGTCCCCTCAGCCCGGCCCCTGCGCCCTCTCACAGTCCAGAACCCCTGGGGGGATGTCCGACTGCCAGCTTAGGCTCGTTCCCCAGAGAGTGGTTCTAAGCCAGCAGTCGGACATGAATATTGCAGTCTGGACCTTACTGTTCACCTGCAGCAGAAGCAGGAGAGGATTCTACTACAGCTGCTGCACTCACCAGCCATGAGCACAGCTTATGGCTGAGGGGCACTCCCCCTATGGGAGTGCACTGACCACCAGGGGGCAGCTCCTACATTGAAGGTCTTCCCCCTGGTGGTCAATGACTGTAATAGTGACTGGCCATTTCACCATTTGGCTGATTTGCATATTAGGGTTTTATTATATAGGATAATTAAAATGATTATGTTATGTTAATCAAGAACTTGATTACTTTAAATAAATAAATTACTTAATACTGTTTAATAATAATAATATATAATCTTTTAATCTAATGTTTTTGATTATCCTCTCAAGGTTTGAATTTTAAGAATTTTTTCCTTGACCTAGAATTGGCTTTATTAATAGATCATTCCAATAGGCTCTAGAATACCTCAAGTGTTTGTTTTATCTCTCATGAAGGAAATTTTTCTGCTTAACATACATGAGAAGCTTTGGGAAATAATAATAACTATATTGTGCTTTCATTTATAGCTCTAATTGTTATTCTGGGATATTGTGTTTTGCCAAAAGGACAAGATACCATGTCATTTGCATTGCTCCATAAAGTATCTCGAATTAGCCGAAACCGGTTTGGCTCAATGGATAGAGCGTCGGCTTGAGGACTGAAAGGTCCCGGGTTCGATTCCGGTCAAGGGCATGTACCTTGGTTGCGGGCATATCCCCAGTAGGGGGTGTGCAAGAGGCAGCTGATCGATGACTCTCTCATCGATGTTTCTAACTCTCTATCTCTCTTCCTTCCTCTCTGTACAAAATCAATGAAAAATATTAAAAATAAATAAATAAAACAAAATAGCAAATCCCAATACTCTAGCTCCCCTTAAAAAAAAAAAAGTATCTCGATTTATAGAAGTACTGGCAGGAAAAATCAGAAGAAACAAAATAAAGTGGGCATAGTGCAGATAGAAGGAGAGCCCACAAAATTAATGATAAGAAGGGCACGCATTTTTCCTGACCCTGATTTTCCTTTAATTCTTGCCCATTTGTTCCCAGAGATTAAGATCTAGCATCAGGGAACCAAGTATTATAAATTATAAGAGTCTGTAGCAGGCTCATTAATTGCTCCGTGACAGAGGCACTGTGATATACTGCTGTTTTCTGTGAATAGCTCTTGTCCCATTGTGAAACCTTAGCTGAGAAATAATCCCTAGAACAGTGGCTGGCAAATTCATTAGTCAACAGAGTCAAACTCATTAGTCAAACTCATTATCAACAGTACAAAGATTAAAATTTCTTTTGAGAGCTGAAAATAGACTTCTGCGCATGGGCCATGAAGTTTCAATCGCACTGTACCTGAGCACCCAGAAGTGGTATTTTGTGGAAGAGCCACACTCAAGGGGCCAAAGAGCCACATGTGGCCTGTGAGCCGCAGTTTGCTGACCACTGCCATAGAACTTGGAAATCCCAAGCAGGCTCCAATGACTTACTGCGCAGTTACTTTCGCTTTCTTACTCTTCATTTTCTTTCTTTCTTTCTTTCTTTCTTTCTTTCTTTCTTTCTTTCTTTCTTTCTTTCTTTCTTTCTTTCTTTCTTTCTTTCTTTCTTTCTTCCTTCCTTCCTTCCTTCCTTCCTTCCTTCCTTCCTTCCTTCCTTCCTTCCTTCCTTCCTTCCTTCCTTCCTTCCTTCCTTCCTTCCTTCCTTCCTTCCTTTCTTTCTTTCTTTCTTTCTTTCTTTCTTTCTTTCTTTCTTCTTTCTTTTAAAATATATTTTATTGATTTTGTACAGAGAGGAAGGGAGAGAGATAGTTAAAAACATCGATTAGAGAGAGTCATCGATCAGCTGCCTCTTGCACACCCCCTACTGGGGATATGCCCGCAACCAAGGTACATGCCCTTGACCGGAATCAAACCTGGGACCTTTCAGTCCCCAAGCCGACGCTCTATCCATTGAGCCAAACCGGTTTCGGCTTACTCTTCATTTTCAAGGTTTCTGCCATGTCTCATTGCATCCCTCCTTACATGGGGCACCACTTGCCAGTGCTGATTAGCAGACCCTGAGCTACAGATGAATAATTACTCTGACTCATGTTTCTGTGAAATAGAGGGCTAAGGGACTGCTTGGCCATAGGAATCAAACAGCCCCATTTGCCTGCCTCCTCAGGCTTTTATTAGAACAACAACTTGAACTAAAATTAACTATTAGATACTATCAGTAAGGTAAGCATCCTTGAGAGAACACATGCGTTTGCAGTGTCTTTTAAGCAAGAGCATCCAAGACTAAACATAAAGATTCCAGTAAAACACCCAGGGGCTCAGATTTGTGTGGAAAAGTCAAGGCAGGGGCAGCCACCTTTGGCTAGCTCCCCCTGGAGGCTCCTTCCCTTTTGAAGATTCCTTCTTACAAACTTCCCAACCAAATTCTGTGCTTCCCCACAGAGAGTAATTAAAAAGAAGAAGGAGAAGGAGAAGGAGAAGGGGAAGGAGAAGGAGAAGGAGAAGGAGAAGGAGAAGGAGAAGGAGAAGGAGAAGGAGAAGGAGAAGGAGAAGGAGAAGGAGAAGGAGAAGGAGAAGGAGAAGGAGAAGGAGAAGGAGAAGGAGAAGGAGAAGGAGAAGAAGAAGAAGAAGAAGAAGAAGAAGAAGAAGAAGAAGAAGAAGAAGAAGAAGAAGAAGAAGAAGAAGAAGAAAAATGAGAAAGTTATACAGACATACCCCTTCCCCCAAATGACCTCTTCCATTCTGCCCCCACCCTTTACCTTGGGCCTTCACCTCTCTATTGTCTGTGTCCATGGGTTATGCATATCTGCATATAAATTCTTTGGTAAACCTCTTCCCTCCCACCCACCCTCACCTTCCTTCTGAGATTGATCAGTTTGTTCCACATTTCTATGCCTCTGGATCTATTTTAGTTCATCAGTTTATTTTGTTCTTTGATGCCACATATGAGTGAGATCATGTGACACTTGTCTTTCTCTGACTGGTTTATTTTGCTTAGTATAACACTCTCTAGGTCCCTCCATGCTGTCTCAAAGGGTAAGCAACATTTTGATGGGAGGACTGGAAGAACAGTTTAAATCAATTGTTTTCTTTCAAGTCGAAGAAAATAAAGAACAACAAGTGTTTATTTCCTTGTTTGATTTGTATTTGTTTTAGTTTTCTTTATTTCAACTTTATAGATTATAAGTAACATTAGGCTAATATTCACTAGAGAATTATTATTATCTCTTCTGATTGGGATCTTACCCTGAAAGAAGTTTGCTTGCAGGAGGATTAAAGGAGTGAACCCACATGGTGGAGGGCATTCATTCTGGGTGCAATTAGTGTTTGAGAAAGTTCATGTGAATAGGGATCAAAAAGAGACAAACAGATTTGTAGCGTAATGATTTATGCTTAGCTTGATATATATATATTTGAACATTCTCTTACTTGTTTGAGACCAATGCAATATTTTTGAATGAGTCACTGAAAGCTTGTCTCACTTGTTTGTTTCTTAGAGTGTAAATGAATGGGTTCAACATAGGAGCGATGGATGTCATTAGCAGTGTCACACCCTTGTTAATAGTCACTGACTCCTTGGCTGAAGGTTTGATATAGATGAAAATACAGCTTCCGTAAGTGAGTGAAACCACAATCATATGGGAAGAACAGGTGGAAAAGGCCCTTTTCCTCTGTTGGGCAGAGGGCAATCTTAGAATGGTCTTAGTGATGTAAATGTAGGACAAAACAACACACACAAGGGTGAGAATGAAGGTCAGCACAGCACAGACAATAACCAGCTGCTCGATGAGCCATGTGTCTGAGCATGAAATCTTCAACAAAGGAGATACATCACAGACAAAATAATCAATGGCATTTGAATCACAGAATTTCAAATTTAGGAACAAAGTAAATGGTGAGAGTATGATCAATAAGCCAGCCATCCAACAACAGAGGACAAGGCTCTTGCAGACTCTGCTGCTCATCATGGTCACATAATGCAAGGGTTTGCAGATGGCCACATAGCGGTCATAGGACATCACAGCTAACAGAAAAAATTCAGTTACTCCAAAGACGTCAGTAACAAACAATTGAACAACACAAGCATTATATGTAATTGATCTGTCACCTGTTGCTATGTTGTACAAATATCTAGGGATGCAAGCAGATGTAAATGAGATTTCTAACAAGGCAAAATTCTGTAGGAAAAAGTACATGGGTGTTTTAAGGTGGGAGTCCACTAAAGTGAGGGATATGATGGTCAGATTCCCAGTTATACTCAACGTGTAAGTGAGAAATAGAAAAGTAAAAATTGGAACCTGAAGTTGAGGGTCATCTGTCAGTCCCAAGAGGATGAAAGTTGCTATTGTGTGGTTTTTCATTACTGAATTTTATTTAATGTCATGTAAAGTTTTGAGATATTCTATTTGAAAAGAGTGATATCAAAGCCAGATTAAGATCAACAGTGACTATTAGAGACAGCAAACTAATTCACATGCAGTGTCTTCTATAAATTAGTGGTTGATATTGCCAACACTCTGGTGGGCCTTGCTACTTAATTGCTTATTGTTTTGTGATAGATATTAAAACATATTTTAAATAAAAAAATTGTTTTAGCACCATCGTTTCCTTTTTTTATTTCAGTTTAACTTATATCAAAGACTGAACTTTCTCACTTGGGTAGTTTTGACCTGTATAATGTTTTGTGATTCGACAAAATTATAATTTCTTCTTATGTCTAAGATTTCTTACCTCAAAGGTGAGTATTTAAATGTGATGCCCTTTTCATGTCTTTCAGTGAAGATCTGGTCACGACAAGATGGAAACATGTAAGAAGTAATCCGGGCTCCAGGCACAGGCGCTGTTGGTCCACCTGTAACTTGTATTTTACATTTTGCCACTATGACCAAATGCGTTTACGTTGTTTTGTTTTTATGTTTTAACATGTAGCTTACACATTGTTGGATGACTCCTCTGACTCTCCTTATGTTTCTCTGCTAGTAATTTATGCTCAGTGTCTAGGGGATGTACAATACAGAGGACTTTACTGCATGATGTATTTGCTGTAGGTGAAGAAATGTCAGGCCCAATGATGTACAGTTGGGAAAAACTCACATTTTTTTAATGCTTTCATTTTGTTTGGTTAAGCATGGAAACTCTGACACCTTTTTGCCACTATTACTAAGTCCAAAGTCAAGTCTAAATTACAAAATATACTCTCCATGGACATGTCTTATCGTCTCCCTCAGTCTTAGCCTCAGCGGCAGTACATTGAGATTAAGAGCAGATCCAGAGCACCTTTGTCTGTATGACTGTCGGCAAGTTTTCCAACTTCTCAGGCATTCAGTATGTTAATCTACAAAATGGAGATAAAAACAGTGTCTACCATATTCACCTAAAATGATAACCTTAAAATATAAATATTTTACATTTCTATAAGATAAATGCATTTAATTAAATTCTATTCAATTTCAATCCAGTGTATTTGTGTGACTCCCATCTTTAAGTCCCTTAGTTTTTGTATTTTTGTTCTATTATTTCAAAATGTCACCTACATTGAAATAGGTTTATGAATGTACCATAAGTTTAAAATCAATTTCCAACACACTTCTATGTATCTCTTTGTTTTGTATAAAATCTGATGCATGGTACATGCTTCATATATGGCAGTTGTTACTTTCTGGCCTCTTAATTTATGTGCTGTGAACTCAAAATCCCAAGTGGGACTTACACTTTGTATAACCCATATAGTCTTCTTTCTATTCCATGTCCCTTCAAATAGAAAGAATAAATTCTATTTATTGAGAATTTACTTTGTGGCAGTTCTTGTAAAGCATTTTATATTGATTATCTGTCTGAAAAAAAACCTCTTCTTATCTTTCTCTTTCCACATTCCATCTTTTCTTCCCAGTCTCTCCAACTATCCAGGTGTAACTATATATTTGTGATTTTTCACTCGAGCATCATTTCTACTGGAAAGTCCTTTGGCACGCCATTGTCTGTGTTAAGTGGTCCTCATTTGTGCTTCCATACAAATAACTGTTATTTCCACTTTAGCACTTCCTCTGAGAAAGTGAGTTTGTTGAAATCAGGGACTGTTGTCTTCTTCTTTACTGGGATAGCTGCCAAAACTAACAATCTGAGACTTAGAGTCCATGGTAAGACATAGTGTTGTATAAATTATATACACACATATATATGGATATATATTATTCATTTGCCTACACATTCCAACCTATATTCAAGTTTCATCTTGCCATACTTATTTTAAATTTTACATATACTTGTATTTAACACTGAGGACTTTTATTTTTATTTTTCGCATTTGAAACAATAGTTTTGCTGGTGAATAAAGTCATGCATACCTTGAAATATCACCGTTTTTGCTTATGTCATTATTCCCTGCTTGCCAGACTGTTAACTTCCTTTGCTCTAGCTCTCAAGCAGATAGTTGTATCTTTCTCGGTGGCTATTTTTTGTTTCTTTGAGGAAATCTATAAGATATTTAAACTGGAGGTCAAGGAGTTTGCATATCTGAATATGTAATTTGTTCACATGCTATTCATTTTAAATTATAAATATTTTACATTTTTATAAGGTAAATTAATTTAATTTAGTTCTGTTTAATTTCAATCTAGGGAATTTGTGTGACTCCAGTTTTTAAATCCCTCTTTATTTTTGTTCTTATTTCAAAATGTCACCTACATTGATATAGATTTATGAATGTACCACAAGCTTAAAATCAATTTTCAACACACCTTTATGTCTCTCTTTGTTTTCTATAATTGTTACAATGTCTTCAAAAGTATCTTTTTATAAACATTATTGCATAATTTCATAATAATTCCTGGAAATGAAATTTTAAGGAAAAAGGAGATAATAATTTAGAACTTTTGTAATCATTTACCAAGTTATGATTAATAAACTTTGTATCAACCTTTCCCTTCAACTCAAAGTGTGACTGTATCCACACCACACTGTAATGACTATGATGTTTAATGTGCCTTTTCCCACGTTTGTTGACATTTTTTATTTGGAACAGGTTTTGGTGCCACTGAATATTCACAATTTACACTGTGGAATATTTATCTGTTCAGTCTACATTTAAAGATTTCCTCCTTGTCTTGTTGAAGATAAAGATGTTTCCCTTCTCAGTTTTACATTTATGTCTCTTTAGTGCATATTTTAATACTACTTTAAAATCAGAGTCCAAGAATCTTCTAATTATTGATTTGGCTTAATGGTTGTTCTATAGTTTTTCCTCAGCTAGGACACTTAGTTGTACTAATATACTCAAATACATTTTTAGTTTTGAAATAGTATCTCCAGGATTTGAATGTCTCATTTATAAATGAATAAAAAACAAGGTGCTTTTCAATTTCCTAGCAAAACTCTAGTAAGTTGTTATATGATTGTCACTTGTTCCTTTAAAATATTCCTTTTCTCCAGAGTTTAGAGCAAGGTCATCTCTCACTGTATGACTGGGTAATACAGTTAAACCTCAACGTTTACTGTCACCTCCGTTGAAAGAAGAGATGACAATGGTATTTTTGAAGAACTTGAACATTCCAACGAATTGTAAGGACACATAATAACTAAATAGATAATTTTAATTAAAGGAAAGGATACTCTTTTCAGCCTTTCTAACCCCCTTACTCCCGCTATGTACTTAGTAACCTTGTGGATCCTAGAACTTTACACTGTAACATGCTCTTTCCTCTACCCTATGTGGCAGCCCTTGTTGAAAAATATTTTTTATTTATTCCATTTATCAATGCTAGTTTTTAAGAGGAAAAGTTTACAAAAATAGTTTGCATCTTTTAAATATTTTTATATTTTAAAAAGTGCAAAGAAAGCTAATTTTCCCAATATTATGTCACGAGCTGTCACATCAGGTGATTTTAATGTAGATATACACTTTTCTCTTTAAAGAGGAAAGTGAGAGTGTGGCAGAGATAACTTCTCACTGCATATAAATTCACAGTATCTTTATGTGAACTATAAAAAGCAGTATTGAATGATGCAATTCAGAAAAACCTGTGGATCTTCATATAATAATTCACATATTAATTACATCTGATTTTGGTAAGTCAATATCAAATCTTCTCAAAGAAAATTAACACCCAGATTTACCAAAGATGAAAGTAAGTGAAATAGCCAATGTACTTACTCGTCTGAGAGTTAATAGCTTCAGATGACTCTTCAGCAACCAGAATCCTAAGGGCTAATTTGAGGAAGAGACTCTATTAGAAAAGGTTTGTATACAATTTTCTTTGGGTTTATGACTCTGCTTACCCTGACCCATGCTCTGGGAGGATCTAGCACTCTTTGAATTTTTCATCTCCAACATGAGGAGATTTTCAAACTAATAACTTGATGCCTAGGGAAAGTTTTCTACTCTTTCTTGGTTGAAAGTAAAATATTGTTCAACTATTTCCCCTTTTTGCATTGAAATCATTGACATTATGACTTTTCTGGATAGGATAAGAGGCTTTCACCCTATTAAGACTTACATTTGATTTATTTGCTGTACCTCAAACTAAATATTAAACAACTGGGTCCTTGGTGACACAGGTACAAACATCACTAATGAGTTTCCTTTGTAATGAACGAGGGCAAAAACACTGAAAGATGCAGCAATGGGGGCCCTGCCCCTAGAGACACAAAGATGTGACAATAGCAACAGGCACAGGTCAGGATAAAATAACAAAAAACCAGAGGTCAAGAAGTGGGCTGCCTTTCCTGTATTTCTTCCCAACTACCCATGGAAGCTGAGAGATCACACAGCTCTGTTCCACCTCCTGTTTTTCTCAAGCATTATAAAAGATAAAATAGAAAATTAGAAAACTCAAAGCAAGTGATAATTCTTTTTTACATTTTAAAGAACTATATGAATATTTATGACTATTTAAAAAATAAAAATACTATTATTTCCAAGATAAGGTTGTGAACGCCGCATCCATTTGAGGCTAGGGTTCAAGGTCTGGAGAAGGGTCTGTGCACAAACGGATACACTACCCAGGAAGTATACATTTAGAAGGCATGGGGGAGCCAGGAGGATAACTTACTCTCCAGTGGAGAGGCTCTCTGAATCCCAGGATCCATTAGCTTTTATTTACTAGAATACACATTTGCCCTTTAGCAAAGCAAACAGGCATATCAATGATAAATTTTGGTAAACAATAAAAGGATTATCAGGTTAGGCCAGGGGATTGCCTTCAGCCATTCAGCCAAAGCAGGGCAGCATTATGCTGATTTTCAGCCTTTGCTGAATAGCAAAGTCAATTAGCCTTCCAGCAGAGAGGAAAGGGGAGAGAGAGAGAGAGAGAGAGAGAGAGAGAGAGAGAGAGAGAGAGAGAGAGAGAGGGAGAGAGAGAGAGAG